AACCAAAGCCCTTAATGTGTCTCTTGAGGCCAGGGGAGTGAAGTTTACCTGTGCAGCTCTTATTAGCTTTCCTCCGTTATACTCACTCCTCTGAATTTCACTCCCATTTGGGTCACGGCACCAATATAACTGGTCCTACTCGCATCATGCTGAGAGGGATTTGAACCAGCATCAACTGCACTGGAGGAGGGCACGCCAACAGGGAAGCTAAAACCAGCAGCCCTTAATATACCTGAGTGAGGAAACCAACCCCTCTAAATTTCACCCCCATCTAGGTCACAGCACCAGTGTAACTGGTTCCACTCGCATCGCTCTGAGTGGGATTCAAACCAGCATCAATCAGCATGGGAGGAGGGCACTCTAACAAGAATGCAGAAACCAATGGCACTTAATCTGTCTCTTGAGGCCAGGGAAGTGAAGTTTCCTGTGGAGATCTTACTAGCTGGCCTCCATTATACTCACCTCCCTAAATTTCACTCCCATCCGGGTCATGGCACCAATGTAACTTGTCCTACTCTCACCACTCTGAGAGGGATTTGAACCAGCTCAACCAGTATAAGAGTAAGGCACGCTAACAAGAACCCTAAAACCAAAGCCCTTAATGTGTCTCTTGAGGCCAGGGGAGTGAAGTTTACCTGTGCAGCTCTTATTAGCTTTCCTCCGTTATACTCACTCCTCTGAATTTCACTCCCATTTGGGTCACGGCACCAATATAACTGGCCCTACTCGCATCATGCTGAGAGGGATCTGAACCAGCATCAACTGCACTGGAGGAGGGCACGCTAACAGGGACGCTAAAACCAGCGGCCCTTAATATACCTCTTGAGTGAGGTTTACCTGCACAGCTCTTACTAGCTGGCATCTGTCACACATTTCTCTTAAACCTCACTCCCATCTGAAAAATGGCACCAATAAAACTGGTCCTACTTGCACCGTGCTGGACTCCATTAAACCAACCCCTCTAAATTTCACCCCCATCTAGGTCACAGCACCAGTGTAACTGGTTCCACTCGCATCGCTCTGAGTGGGATTCAAACCAGCATCAATCAGCATGGGAGGAGGGCACTCTAACAAGAATGCAGAAACCAATGGCACTTAATCTGTCTCTTGAGGCCAGGGAAGTGAAGTTTCCTGTGGAGATCTTACTAGCTGGCCTCCATTATACTCACCTCCCTAAATTTCACTCCCATCCGGGTCATGGCACCAATGTAACTTGTCCTACTCTCACCACTCTGAGAGGGATTTGAACCAGCTCAACCAGTATAAGAGTAAGGCACGCTAACAAGAACCCTAAAACCAAAGCCCTTAATGTGTCTCTTGAGGCCAGGGGAGTGAAGTTTACCTGTGCAGCTCTTATTAGCTTTCCTCCGTTATACTCACTCCTCTGAATTTCACTCCCATTTGGGTCACGGCACCAATATAACTGGTCCTACTCGCATCATGCTGAGAGGGATTTGAACCAGCATCAACTGCACTGGAGGAGGGCACGCCAACAGGGAAGCTAAAACCAGCAGCCCTTAATATACCTGAGTGAGGTTTACCTGCACAGCTCTTACTAGCTGGCATCTGCCACACATTTCTCTTAAACCTCACTCCCATCTGAAAAATGGCACCAATAAAACTGGTCCTACTTGCACCGGTCCGAGTGGGATTGGAACCAGTGTCAAATGGCATGGATGGTGGGTGCACTAACAAGGACACTAAAAACTAGCAAGCCTCTTGAGGCCAGGGAAGAGAGGTTTACCGGCATAGTTCTATTTTTACATATGTAGCAGTTCTAAAGAGATTTGAGAGTTCAACTGCCTCTGTCCCCATCCACTTTCATTGTATGGAAATGAGCAGCATGAGCATTCGGTTAAATATTTCCTTTTGTGTTCCACTGAAGAAAGACAATCATATGGGTTTAGAGTGGTATGAGGGTGAGTGATGACTGAATTTTCATTAAGCTGGTGTTCCTGGTCGATGGATGTTCCTACCTGTGAAAACTGTATGACTGTGAAGATTGCCATTTTATTTAGCATCCACCTTTAAGGTTAAATGAGCTTTTCTCTGGTGTCAGAGGATACAGTGTTACACTGTTCAAAACAGGCTATTAAACTTTAATTAACGCTCCTATATAGCTGATTTGCAGTAACTATGTTTATGAAAACACATTTACACACATTTCTGTATAGCTCTGCTTTTAGATGCCATAGTCTCAGGATCTGCCGGTTGTAAAAAACAGTGAAATACCCTTTAAAAGAATAAAGGTTTCTTATTTTCAAACTGTCGAGTGATAGATGGTTCTTAGTAGTATATATAGATTCAAGTAAAAAAGGGAAAGTGAACTGAATGTTACTATACAGTATGTACTTAGACATGATACTAGGGTATTCTTGACTACCATGTAAATGCCATGGTATATAAATATAGTAATAATTCAATAGCATGGTATTATCATCTAATAACATTTAGTTGGTTTATTATATTGAGTCCAGTATTGAGTCCTGCACATCTATTCCTATAAGTGATTAAATATGTGTGACAGAGGGTCAGGTTGTTGTGAACCACATTGACCAGTGGTAGATACATCCTTATTGATTCCACTGAGAGTCCTGTGCTCATAAAAGCATGGAGAAACCATGTGTGCTGCCAGTACAAACACTGCTAAAATGAATGCACTCGCAGGTTTCCATTTTAATCAAATCGGTTAAATGCCTGCACATTATACCATGAAAAATAGGCTGAACCATCTACAGCCTGAGACTTTAAGCTAAGCCTACAGAGCAATAATGCTCAATTTTTTTTCATTTGATTTGTGATACAAGATGTTGTTTTGTTTAGTAGGTGTGATTTATAATTCATAAATTTTAACATTTTTTATGTCGGAGTGTAATTGTTTGATAAGCTAACATCAAATGCATCTGTAGAGGAACCTGACTGTAAAACACTAAAAACTCTAAACACCTATTAATTTATATATTAATGACAGCAATATATATACAGAATTTTTTTTAAAGTTTATTAACAAATCTAGCTATAAAAAAGTAGCATTGCAAATATATGACCAAAAGTATCCAACTTAATATGAAAAAGAACATTTGGCTAAACAGGAGGTAAACAAAAAACAAAAACAGCACTCAATAACTGTGAGTATCAATGCTGTATGGAGTGCAATGATAGAGTAAACCGATATATCATCATGGGAACCAGAGTGTACGCCAGTTACTTGCATTCAATGGCAAGAGCATGAAACAGAAGACAGTTTAAAATAATGGCAATACAGAATAAAGCAGTTATTTTAGCAAACACAGCACAAAGAGAAACAATATATATTTAAATGAAGCTCAAGTAAAATACATGATATCTCAGAATAGAAGGTAAAAAAAGATAGAATAAAATAGAAAAACAGAAAGAAATAACAGCGATCGTAATAAAACATTGTCCTTTAAAAGAAAACCCTCTTGTCTTTCTAATCTAAATGGGGAGAGTTTTATCAGAGACTCGTATCTCGTCATATCGAATATCTTCGATATCGAATATCAATTCTGTCAAACTGTCCCTCACAATTGCATATCTAACATACTGATAAGCAGCACCTCTCTCATAACATTTACTGGCACGTAACATCCCTGACTATAACTACTGGACCAGTATTAATCAGCAAATAATCATTTTCTTAAAAAGCATTTGTCATATTTTCCACAAAAAAAAAAAGCAATGTAAAAAAAGATAATTAAATGTAAAAGTTAAAAAGTAAATTTATAAAGACATGTGAAAAGATATATTCTCCAACATTTGAAGAAAAACAAAAAAACAAAGATCCCCCGCCCGCTTTTTTCTTTACTGTATGTAAACATATCCTGTTTTAAGGATCTTCAGGTAAAAAAATGTTTCCTTACAATACTAATTGTCTTATTGTCAAGTAAAAAAACAAACAAAACAAAACCATACATCAATCTTTAAGCATAAGCCAAAACATGATAATGCAGTAGAATTATTATTAATCATAATAATAATCATAAACTTTTATAACATACATAAAACTTTTACTGGAAAATGACAAATACTGTTAATGAAAGTGATTTTTTTGCAGTGTATTGTCATATTCAGGACTGATGGTTGACTGGATGTTTAAAGCACTTGGCGTTGAAGTCATAAATCTTTTAATTAACCCCCAATGTGCCGCAAATACTGTACTTTAAGTCAAAGTTTCTTAAAGAGGTCAAAAGTCAGTATATGAATACAGTGACTTCATATTTTGTCGTGCTAACTGAACTGATTGCATGTAAATGAACTAGGATTGCCATACATATCTCCAAAAATAACATTTGGGGAAGTGTGGATTTGTGAAGTGTATGAGGACTGTCTCCTTCTACCAAAAGAAGAGAGGGTATTTTTCTTCTTTTTTGGTTCAAAAAGACACAGGGATCTCCCTGTGCTCAACATTGGGCCTTCACTGTGTGAAACACCACAGAGGGCTACTGAGGTAAAACCAGTCTTCTCCAAATAAAACAGCATTAACTGTATTAATCTCTTATAACAAAAGCTTTGTACATTCATCCATCTGATGTCAGATACATTTCAGGTCATTCTGAGAGTCTGCAAGGCAAAAGTTTTCATAAGCATGATGATTACCTTGGGCTGGTTTGTATATGTATGTAAATGTGTAAATATGACTGCATATCTTTATGATATTGCATGTAAAGTTTGGTTCAATGTATATTTATACAGTGGCACCAAAAATCAGAACACTTCATGAAATAGAGTTTGAAAATATGAAAATGAGTTTGTTTCTTCATCTGAACAGATTTGGAGAAATGTAGCATGTAATGCGACATTTCTCTCCCAATCTGATGAAGAAACAAACTCATCTACATCTTGGATGGTTTGAGGGCGAGTACATTTTCAGCAAATTTTCATTTTTTTGGGTTAACTATTCCTTTAAGCAACACTTAATGTATGAATGTCATTTCATTTCATAAAAAAAAACAACAACAAATCAAAACTTGGCATTAATTTCAAGAAAAGATAACAAGCACAAAAAAGTGAAGTTAATTGTAATAAAAGATCTAACATCATAGTTTGATGTTGTGTATCTAATACAATGACATTCAGACATATTTAGATGTGGCTTAAGCGTATCACTTATCCAAATCCGTTTTGGAGACACCGTATAAAGATGCTGTATGTATGCATTGTAACAGATTTGAGCAGATTCTGTGAAGCGAGGGTGTTTCATAGGGCCTTGGCGCTGGTGGTGTGTGTGGTGTGTGAGACGGGTTTCTGTGGGAAGCGGCTGTAGTAGTACACTTGGAAGAGAATGGCGAAGTCCACGCACACCTGAAGGAGGCCGCAGATCCAGAACTGCTCGGGAGCCTGAGTCAACAGGAAGTAGCCGGTCTTGAAAGTGTCTCCACTGGTCCACATCAACACCATCTTAATACTGGAGGGACAGGAAGTGAGAGAGAGAGTTAGAGTCAGAGTGTTATTAAAGTATGAGACGTGAGAAAGCGAGAGGCAGATCAAAATCACTGAAATTGAGAAAACAGGCAAACTTTTTTTTTTTTTTTTTTACTTGATTGCAAGTTTTAATACTTAGGATTTATGGATTTTGCTTAGGTTCTCTATTAAAAACAACACAGTCTAATTTCTACATCATTTCTAACAATAGTGAAGGTGGGCTGGAGAGGTATTGGTTTAGTCTTTCTAACCAGCTCTATAAAAAGAGGATGAGGCTTTTCATAATATCAGTCATTAGTTGGAAAAGGACAGGCGTAACATTGAGGCCTGACAGTTACAGTGTTCCCACAGGCTAGCTCCATCTGCTCCGCCTGTGGGTCTCATGCTCTCTCTCATCCACGCTTAGTTTCTCACACTTGAGTACAAGATTACACGTCCAACTGGAAAGCATCATACTGTCATCGTTTACTCACTGTCTTCCTTCCATGGAGAACAAAAGGAGAAATTTAGAAGAATGTGCTGCTCACTCTTTCCTATATAATTACCATGAATGAAGCATTCAAGCTTAAAAAAACAGCATAAAAGTAGTCCATGCAACTTATAGATTATATTACAACTCTAGCTAGGTGTTAAAAACAGAGAGAAATTTTGGTCATTATTAATTGTTAACCACAATGAAAAGGTACACTTATTTTAACTGTAAAAGTAAATTAAGAAATTGTATTTATCTGCATTGAATTTTGATAAAAAATACACTAAAGTACACTTTTTAAAAAGTCTTTGATCATAATATTAACTGTAGTGCTTTATTTAATATTACACTTAAATATTTCATATATTTTACATGTACAGCTTTACCACTATAAATGTGTAATTGCAAATATTTCTCAATCCATATATATATATAATAGAATTATTAAAGAGCTAATGCAAAAGCATGATCTGTTCTCCAGCTGGACATCGCTACTAATTCCCTCAACCAAAGCTATGATATGGCATCAGAAGACTTTGTATTTATCATGCATGCTATTTTTATGGTGCAATGTTTTTTGGAGCTTGACAGTCCCAGTCCTCACTCACTTCAATCAAAGCAAAAAGAGTGACCAGGTTATTCTTCAAAACTTCACCTTTTGTGTTTCAAAACTTCACCTTTTGTGTTTCTACTGGAGCTTTTTCTGACAGTGACAGGACTTTTATTTTGACAGCACTAAGAAGGCCAGCACTTGAATGCCAACATAAACATAATCTTTAATGCTGTGTTATATAAAGTTTGTGTTGAAAATATGACACTTACTGAGCACACTTACTGTTCACTTACTTGTTTTTAAAATTTTATTTTAATTTCTTTATTTGTGAAAAACACTATTGCTAATGGAATTACTGAATCAAGATGTTGCCAAAGCATAAATCTGTTTATTTTACAGAATTATTTTTATCAAGTGCTAAGATATTCTAAGGTAGTGACCATCAAAAAAAAAGGCATATTTGTCAACCATATTGTAACCTCTATGCTACAATAAAGGTTTTTGTGACACTGATGACTACAGTAATGGCGACTGAAAATTCAGCTTTGCTTCAAATAAATTACTATTTAAATTATATTCAAACAGAAAATTGTTTTTTTTTTTATTGTAATATTTCACAGTTTCACTATATGTTTGATCTAACAAATGCAGCCTTGGTGAGCATAAGAGACATCTTTCAAAAACATTTAAAAAAAATCATATCAATCTCTAAACATTTGTCCAATAGTGTATATTCACACTGAAACCTAGCAGAGTTTAAAAATCGAATGCAAGACTCAGTGAGATTACTGTGGTGTGTCTTTCAAGCAGCAGTCTCAAAAGGATGAGTATACAAAACAGCTGGGTGTGAAGAACAAACCAAAGAAAACAGAGAGTACAAAACACTAACAAATCTTTTCTTGCCCAAAAGAAATGGAGTCAGGTGTGAGTGCAAGCAGAGAGCCGAGGTAAACACTGTTTTCTCTTCTTTGTTTGGCTCTGTGTTACACTCAAAGCAGAGCTGAGAGCCGGCCTGATCCACGGCATCTGATAAAAGGCCACTCTGAGAGCTTATTACAGCAGCACGTCCTAAAGAGATGAAAGAGTGCTCTCAGCGCCGCCAGGCCACAGCGATCAGCTCCTGCGATAGAGTAATAAACCACTCGACACTCCACACAACAGCACAGCTTAATGAGTGTGAGAGATGATGTGCACAGGGTCATGGCCGCTTACATCATTAAAGGTGAAATATGTACGTTTAGCAACACCAAACCACTGGAAAAAATATTTTGTTTCCCAACATGTTTCCTAAACACCCCTACTGCCCAGGAAATTATAGACAACATAAAACAACAAAACTGCTTATTCAGACTTCGCAAACATTGTAATATTGAGTGATTAGATTTTCATTTGAAGCACTGAATCAACTCTTCTCAAAACATTGTTTCCTCTTCACAGTCTTTCAAACTAAACAAAACAAAAAACAAACAAAACAAGATAAAAAAAAAAACAAAGCATGACAAAAAACAACAAAAAACATTACAAACAAAAATGACAAAACAAAAAACAAAAGGAAAAACACAACAAAAGAAAAACAAAAAAACAAAAAACATGACAAAACAAAACAACAAAAAACATTACAAAACAAAAAAACAACAAAAAAATTAAATGAAAAAAACAACACAACAACAAAACACAAAAACATGACAAAACAAAAAAACAACAAAAAAATTAAATGAAAAAAACAACACAACAACAAAACACAAAAACATGACAAAACAAAAAAACAACAAAAAAATTAAATGAAAAAAACAACACAACAACAAAACACAAAAACATGACAAAACAAAAAAACAACAAAAAAATTAAATGAAAAAAACAACACAACAACAAAACACAAAAACATGACAAAACAAAAAAACAACAAAAAAATTAAATGAAAAAAACAACACAACAACAAAACACAAAAACATGACAAAACAAAAAAACAACAAAAAAATTAAATGAAAAAAACAACACAACAACAAAACACAAAAACATGACAAAACAAACAAATTAAATGAAAAAAAAACAACAACAACAAAACAAAAACATGACAAAACAAAAAAACAACAAAAAAATTAAATGAAAAAAACAACAACAACAAAACACAAAAACATGACAAAACAAAAAAACAACAAAAAAATTAAATGAAAAAAACAACACAACAACAAAACACAAAAACATGACGAAACAAAAAACACAAAGCACAACAAAACGAAAACAAAGTGCAAAAGTAAAGTAATAATGTTAAGAAATTACTTCATTATATACTGTGTCAGACAGCTTGTTTTGCACCATAGCTGATCAACTGACAAAAAACATGCCTTAAATTGTAGACAACTGTAAGCAATCCCATAATGCACTGCAATATGCTTTTGCATATATAATAAACATCTGATAAGCATTTCCATCAGAGATGGCAAGTATTGAAAGAAAATTGTTTGATCCTATTAAAATGAACATTTTGTTGCAATGCAGTGCTTCATGTCTCTTCTGTCTTCTTTTCAAATAACAATTTAAAATCAAATTAATATTTCATACCCACATGTTTATTCAGTTGGTAAGTAGTCATGTAACAAGTGTTATAATGTAATAATGCGCAAGCTAGTGTACAAGGTGATAAAAGATTTTTTTTTAAAAACTAAATATCTTATAACATCTATAATATTCAGAATTTCATCTGAAGCACAAGACTAAACAAAAACAAAATTAAAAAAAAAACACTTTCTTGTCTAAAATAATTTCCAACAATTCATACATATACAGTATGTATTTGGTAAGTAGCCATGCAATATGTGTGATAATGCACAATCAGCTGATTATTAAAGATAAATAAAATAAATGCTTGTGTCGCATTACACCTTAAATTAGAGAAAATGTGTTTTCATAAGACATACAAGAACTAAGAAAAACAGAAGATTCTGTTTCTCTGACTAATGAAAATATCTTAATGTTTGTACATTAACCATCAGATTAACCAAAACTAGGTTTACTGTAAATAAACTATAAAGCACACTAGTTTGGGATATGGGCAGTGTTGGTGCGTGCCATCAAACCAACTGTGGTCAAATGAAATTTAAAAAAAAAGAGCAGTGATCAGTTTTAACAGCTGCCATGGAAACCATCAGGAGTCGAGAAGGCTGACGGTTGCCATGGTTTCCATGATAGAGTATAAACAAATCCGCCTGCAACAGTTACCAGAGAATCACAACAAACACTGTAAGTGCAGCAGCACTGCAACACTACAAACAACGATCGGCTGACTAACTCTAGAGAGACATGAGGCTGGTAAACCACACTAACACCCACACATTAACATCCAAGAGGACATCAAAGACAAATATTATTCATATTCTGTAAACTGGACGAGATGGTGTTCTGGTAACCATGAATACACATTTTGAGAAACTACAATTTTATGGTTGTTAACATACAATTCTTTTTTTTGCTTTTTTGAATGATTTTTTCATGATTAATGCATTTGGTTTCAGGAAAGCAAGAAAATGAAATGCGTGTAATTACTGTGTTTGGCATTTTGTGTGAATGACACAAAGCAGAATATCTGTTCATGTATATATAAAAACTATGGACAGAGGTGAGAGTCTTTACTCATATCTCTCTCTCTCTCGCTCTCTCTCACACACACACAGGTTTGTTTTTGTGAAAAGTGGGGACTCTCCATAGGCGTAATGGTTTTTCTACTGTACAGACCGTATATTCTATTGCCCTACACCAACCCTACCCCTAAACCTACCCCTCACAGGAAACTTTGTGCTATTTCAGATTTTCAATACACTCCATTCTGTGTGATTTATAAGCGTTTTGAAAAGTGGGGACATGGGGTAATGTCCTGAAAAGTCACCTTCTCCTTGTAATACCTATGTCATACCCTTGTCATTATACACACACACACACACACACACACAAACACACACAA